AAATTCCTGGTTCCTGGCCTCAGATCAGCCCAACGCAGCTATTTGGGGAACAAACCAGCAGATGCAAGATCTTTTTCTTCGTAACTCTGCCTTTTAAATAAGTTAAAAGAAACAAAACAAAAAAAAATTATAATAATCGCCAAATCCAGGACACAAGAAAAATAGGCATTAGCTTTGAATTTTCTTTTTCTTCTTCTTTTTTTTTTTTTTGAGTTATTTATTTTTATTAGAAAGGTAGATTTATAGCAAGAAAGATCCATTCGCTAGTAGCCACAATAGCCAGAGCTGGGCCAATCAGAAGCCAGGAGCCAGGAGTTTTTTCTGGATCTCCCACATGGGTGCAGCGTCCCAAGGCTTTGGGCTATCCTCTACTGTTTTCCCAGGACACAGGCATGGAGCTGGATGGGAAGGAGAGCAGCCAGGACACAAACCAATGCCCATTTGTGATCCTGGCCCACGCAATGTGAGGATTTAGCCACTCAGAGATTGTGCTGAGGACCCTGGATTTTCTAAAAATTCAGAACAAAAATATAAGTTAGGAGGATTCAGGCCCAGCACGATAGCCTAGTGGGTAAAGTCTTCGCCTTACACATGCAAAGATCCGATATGGGGCCAGTTCATGTCCTGCTGCTCCACTTCCCATCCAGCTCCCTGCTTGTGGCCTACAAAAGCAGTCAAGGACGGCCCAAAGCCTTGGGATCCTGCACCCACATAGGAGACCTGGAAGAAGTTCCTGTTTCCTGGTGTTGGTTCAGCTGGTAACACTTGAACATTTCTCCTCTGCAAAGCGAGAGGAACAGGGACCACCTCAGAGTGGCTTTGAAGCTTGCTCTAGTTACCTGGGTGCAGAACAAACGGCCAGCATGTGTTAGCTGATGTTATTTCCCATTCAGAGACCGGTACTCATTCTGAACCTAGCCCCAGACCATCAATCCTCCCTCTGCTTGATTCGTGTCTCCATGGTTGTCACTTTTACTGTGTTTTCATCCTTTTCTTTTTTTTTTAAATTTTTTTTATTTTTTTTTATTTTTTTTGAAGATTTATTTTTATTATTTTTTGATTGGAAAGGCGGATATACAGAGAGGAGAGACAGAGAGGAAGATCTTCCATCCGATGATTCACTCCCCAAGTGAGCGCAATGGTCGATGCTATGCCGATCCGAAGCCAGGAGCCTCTTCCGGGTCTCCCACGTGGGTGCAGGGTCCCAAAGCTTTGGGCCGTCCTTGACTGCTTTCCCGGGCCACAAGCAGGGAGCTGGAAAGGAAGCGGGGCTGCCGGGATTAGAACCGGCGCCCATATGGGATCCCGGGCATGCTAGGCGAGGACCTTAACCACTTGCGCCACCGCGCCGGGCCCTGTTTTCATCCTTTTCACATGTCCATCTGCTCCATCATGTTTTGAAGGTTCTGAAAGCCAGGTTCTTACTTATCTTCATAGTTGCAGCACCCAAAACACAAACACACCTGATTCTCGAACTAGCAATGTATCTTTTCTCTAAGCACATCTTTGCTAACCACTTGGTAAGTTTGTTGTGTTATACAAATCCTTTTTTTAAAATGTATTTAGTTTTTAAAAGATTTACTTATTTTGAAGACCAGTATATTGACTCGGCTGACTAAATCTCTGCCTCCAAGTGCCACATCACATATGGGCACCAGTTCCTGTCCTGGCCACTTCACTTCCCATCCAGCTCCCTGCTTGTGGCCTGGGAAAGCAGTTGAGGACAGCCCAAAGCCTTGGGACCCTGCTCCTACATGGGAAACCTAGAGGAAGCTCCTGGTTCCTAGTTTCAGATTGGCTCAGCTCCAGCATTTGCAGCCACTTGGGGATAGGGAACCAGCAGATGGATGACCTGTCTTTCCTCTCTGTAACTTTGCCTTTCAAATAAAAATAATTTATTTTGTAAATGCAGTTTTACAGATGTCGCCACAGTAGCTCAACAGGCAAATCCTCAACACTGTGGTGCCAGCATCTAATATGGGCACTGGTTCATGTCCCAGCTACTCCAGTTCCCATCGAGCACTACATATATATATAGCCTAGAAAAGCAGTGGGAGATGGTCCAAGTGCTAGGATCCCTGTACCCACATGAGAGACCCGGAAGAGGCTCCTGGCTTCACATCAGTTCAGTTCTGGCTACTGCAGCCATCTGGGGAACAAGCCAATGGAGGGAAGATCTTCTCTCTGTATCCTCTCTAAAATCTGCTTTTCAAATGAAAGTAAATCTTTAATAAATAAATAAATAAAAGGCAGTTTTGCAGAGCTCCCCAGATGGCAGCAATGGCTACAGAGCTGGGCTGGTTTGAAGCCAGAGCCTGGAACTTCCTCCAGATCTCGCACATGGGTGCTGGGGCCCAAGGACCCGGGCCATCTTTCACTGTCTTCCGTAGCACATCAGGAGGAAGTTAGGTTGGAAGTGGAGCAGCTGGGACTCAAACTGGCATCTATATGGGATTCTGGCATCACCTACTGTGTAGAGGTAGAGGCTTAACCTACTATGTCATGGTGTTGGCCTTTCAAAGATGTATTATTTATTTACCTATATTTATTATTTATTTTTATTGGAAAGTCAGACATACAGAAAGGACGAGAGACAGAGAGGAAGATCTTCCGTCCATTGACTTATTCCCCAAGTGAGCGCAATGGCTGGTGCTGTGCTAATCCGGAGCCGGGAACCAGGAACCTCCCCCAGGCCTCCCCATGTGGTTGCAGGGTCCCAAATCCTTGGGTTGTCCTCGACTGCCTTCCCAGGCCACAAGCAGGGAGCTGGATAGGAAGTGGAGCTGCCGGAATTAGAACTGGTACCCATATGGGATCCCAGCACGTTCAAGGCAAGGACTTTAGCCACTAGGCCACCGCACCAGGCCCATTAATTACTTATTTTTTTGAACGATTTATTTATTATTATTGGAAAGATATACAGAGAGGAGGAGAGACAAAGCTATTCTGTTCAATGATTCACTCCCCAAGTGACAGCAATGGCCAGTGCTATGCCAATCCGAAGCCAGGAACCCAGAACCTCTTCCAGGTATCCCATGCAGGTGCAGGGTCCCAGGGCTTTGGGCTGTCCTTGACTGCTTTCCCAGACCACAAGCAGGGAGTTTGCTGGGAAATGGAGCAACTGGGACATGCACTCTTGCCCATACTGTTGAGGATTCAGCTCTGAGCCATTGTACCAGGTCCTTAAAAATGTTATTGAATAGATCAGGTCAAACTCCAAAATTCCTGTCTCATGGCTCCTGGGATCCAGACTTGAGAACCTTTATTAACAAGTTTGAAAAAAAAAAAAGTTGCAGGCCTGACCTGGTGGTTGTAGTGGCTAAAGTCCTTGCCTTGCACGTGCCAGGATCCCATATGGACACCCCTATGTGTCCAGGCTGTTCCTTTCAGTTCCCTGCTTGTGGCCTGGGAAAGCAATGTAGGATGGCCCAAAGCCTGGGATCCTGCACCCATATGGGAGACCTGGAAACAGCTCCTGGCTTCGGATCAGCTCAGCTCTGGTCATTGAGGCCATTTGAGGAGTTAACCAGTGGATGGAAGATCTTTCTGTCAATCTGACTTTCCAATATAAATTATTAAAAAAAAAAATGCAGCTGGCAATTTGTAGTACTGCTAGCAGCCTCTATCAGAATGCTGGCCTGAGTCCCAGTTGCTGGTTTTTTTTTTTTTCCCCTCAAAAATATTTTCAGGGCCTGGCGTGAGAGCATAGTGGCTCAAGTCCTCTCCTTGAGCGCGCCAGTTCTAATCCTGGCAGCTCCACTTCCTATCCAGCTCTCTGCTTGTGGCCTGGTAAAGCAGTCAAAGGCGGCCCAAAGCTTTGGGATCCTGTACCCATGTGGGAGATCCAGACGAGGCTCTTGGCTCCTGGCTCCGGATCGGCACAGCTCCAGCTGTTGCGGCCGCTTGGGAAATGAATTACCAGATTTTCCCCTCTGTCTCTGTTCCTCTCTGTATATCTGCCTTTTCAATAAAAATTAATATTAAAAATTTTTTTTTTCCATTTGAGATAGATTTTACACAGAGGTAGAGATCTTCCATCTGCTGGTTTACTTCCCAGATGGCCGAGTTAAGCAGATCCAGAGCCAGGGGTTTCTTCTGGGCCTCCCACATGGATCCAGGGGCCTAAGGACTTGGGTCATCTTATTCTGCTTTCCCAGGCCAAAAGCAGAGTCACATCAGAAGCAGAGCAGTTAGGATTGGAACTGGAGTCCATATGGGATACTGGCACTAGAGGACGGAGGATTAGTATGCTACTACACTGTGCCAGCCCCAGCTGCTCTGCTTCTCATCTAGCTTCAGCCTGATGCTCCTGGGATCCAGTAGATCATGGTCCCCTGCCTCAGAATGGACCACGGATGGAGTTTTTGGGTCTTGGATTCAGCCTGGTCTAGTGCTATTTGGGGAGTGAATGAGCAGATGGAAGATTTTTTTTCTCCCTCCTTCTTCCACTCCCTCAGTCTCCATGCTCTACTTTTCATATAAATAAATAAATCTTTAAAATAAGAAAATTGTCTATATCTATTCATCTAATTAATCATGAAGGCTCTTTACACTTTAGCAAGCTTGGAACAATCTGATGTCCTCTTCGATGATGTTCTAGATGTACTTAAATGGGCCTGTGGGGTAAGGCACTTTGGCTTAGCCAAGTTACACGGATGTTTCAAACACCTGCAGTCCACATCAGACTTCATGTCCAGGCCGCACCCATTCCAGCTTCCTGTGAACTGGCACTGTGAAAGGAGCAGATGACAGCTCAAGCGGCTGCATTGCTGCCACCTACTTTGGAGATGTGACTGAGTTCCTGGCACCCAGCTTGGGCGTGGACCAGCCTAGTCATTGCAGACATGTGGGCAATGAACTGGCAGACGGTAACTTTCTCCACCTGTCTCTCTGCCTTTCAAATAAATTAAAAAAAAAAAAATCTAAAGGCTTTGCAAAAGGGTAGCAAAAAGAGTAGAATCTGGTGGGCCCAACTAAGGTATGGCACAGATGAACAGAGACCAGGAGAAATGGCTTTATTTGGACCCAGAGGTGGGAAACAAAAAGATCAGAGACAGCATCTTTCACTGCGGACTGAGATTCTGTTCCAAAATGGCACTCAAAGCTCATTAACCAAATGACCCTGAACTTCCCAGCAGCCTCGCGGTCGGCAATCAATTGAAAGGCCTGCTGGCAAACATCTCTGCCACCATCAGAACAAATGTACAGATTATTTTCCAGAGTCAGAATGTCCACAAACCCCTTCCCTCAATCACAAGTATGACAGAGAAAAAAAAAAAAATCACGTGTTTCAGATCTTAAACTTGTCTTCAGCATTTAGCTCAATATCTTCAGAAAACAGCCCCCCTGCTTAAGCAAAAACAAAAAACAAACAAAAAAAACCCATGGCAATCTTCTTCCTGTTTTTTTCCCTAGGTAGTCGGGGGGCCGAACAGCAGGGTAAAGAAAGGCTCAGGCGGGGTGGGCTGCGGGGGTGCAGGACCCGGGGCTCTGGAGCCCAGGAGAACATGGCATCTGAAGCTTGGCGGGAGAGCAGAACTGGTGAGGCTTGAGGGGAGGGTCCGGGCCCTGCATTCAGTCAGAATCACTGCTGGAGGAGGAGGAGGAGGAGGAGTGCTGCAAGGGGAGAGGGGAAAGGAGACAGCATCAGATCCAAACACCCTCCAGACGGCTCCTTGTGGCGCCCCTCCCTCCCCCCCAAGTCCTCCTGGCTTTCCGCTTCAGGAAGAAGGTGAGGATTCCTGCATCAGGCTTAAACAAGAAATGCAAGGGTTTCCTTCAGCACTGAGCCTACAGGAACGGATTAAACCATCCTGTCTCATTGCACAGAATTTGACAGACTTACGGCTTTATACACGCAAGTTGCCAACTTTCCTTACCTGAGCCAGTGCTTTGGCGAGGGGGAAATTCAGAGCACAGGAAATGCTTATTGCGGAGTACCCTGTGAAGTCCCTACTGAGCTGGGATGCTAGCTAGATCCCATGACTCCGAGAAGAGGGCAGAGACAGCAGCTGTGGATGCCTGCCCTTCTCCATCAGCACCCACCGGAGCAAGCGGGCAAGGCAGGAGCAAAGGCTTACACGCACACTCCCAACTATCAAAACTTCAGACTTTCAGGATTAGAGAAATCCAGGAAGTAAATAGACAGAAGGGGGAGGGGCGGGACGAGGGATACAAGGGGACAGGAAAATGTAAACAAAGTTCTGCTCAAAATCCATGGGAAGCTTAAATCCTCACACAGCTGTCCTTAAGCCTTGTCCATTGTCACTCCCTTACAAGGAAGATACCTGGTCTTGGGGTGGAGTAGGACTGCCCTTAGCCCTAGGCTTTGTGGACAGCTGAGCCAGGGCTGCTCAGGCCCTCAGGTCCCCTTGGCTGAGTCGGAGGACAAGTCTGCTGCAATTAACATTCAGCCATCTAGGGCCAGAAGATCCTGTTAATTATTACAGAAGACTGTTCCAGGGCTGCCCCTATAAAGAGACTTTCAGAATGGCTTCACTGGGTGTGTCCAACTTCCTCAAACCATACCTGAGAGGCAGGGAAGGGAGCAAGTTTCAGGAGAGCTCAAAGCAGACAAGACAATGTATACTGCTCCTTCCAGATGGGAAGGGCCCTAATATGAAGGCTTTCTCAAAAGCTTCATGGAAGGTAATGTATCATGGGGGCCGGAGTGGGGGAGAGGCAAGGAGGAAATGAGTGGGTTTTAAAAATGTCTACACCAAATCGTACTTTTAACTCCATCTTCCCATAAACTTCTGGACAACCCCTTGTATTTTAAGATTGCTCAATTCTTCCCTGTAGAAATACTTTATAGTGAAGAACTGTACTGTAGTAATTATACAGGGGAACTCAGTGAGAGGGGGAGTTGGGGAGAGGAAAAGGGAAATCCCAGGTTCTATAGAACTGTATCATAAAATAATAATAATGATAAAAAGAAGTTGAACAAAAGAAAAGAAATACCTTAGAGAAAGGAAGGACCACAGCCTAGACCCGCAACAAGGGCCACCTCTGCCATCCACAGGCTGACTCCCCCTAAATCCCAGACGGGATGGGCACTGACCTTGCCATGTTTGTGGTGCTTGTGTGCCTTCTTGTGAGCTTTCTTCATTTTCTTGCGCATCTTCTTATCCATCACCATTCCTGGCCCAGGAGGCATGCAGGGGCCAGGCGGGTAGGGAGGAGGGTGGGGACCTGAGGGATGGCAGCCTGGACATCCTGGCTGTGGCACAGGATGGTGAGGAGGATGATGATGAGGATGATGGGGATGATGAGGAGGATGAGGAGGATGAGGTCCCCCTGGGGGGAAAGCTGGATTGCAGTGGGGAGGTCCTGGAGGAGGTTGGGGACCAGGAGGAAAAGCCGGGTTGCAAGGAGGGGGTGGATTGGGACCTCCGGGGTAGCAGCCGGCTGGAGGAGGGTATTGATTTGGCCCTGGTTGTCCTGGTGGAAGAACCAGAAAATAAGTAAACATTAGAACTGCCCAGAGCATCTGATAACAAAACCACCACACAAAGAAAAGAGATCTCAGCTTTCTCACGCCACAAAAAAATGAAAAACAGCAGGAAAGAGAAAGGAGGGGTGGAGAGACAGGGAAGACTGAATGCGGAAAGGCGGGGGCGAGGGTGGGGAAACCCGACAGGGAAAGTTCTCCATACAAGGGAGAAGATATCACCAGCACCCCCAAAAAACCAACAACAACAAAAACACATACCCGGGTTGGGATTCCACATGTTTTCAGGCGTTATCCGCAACCTAACGAGTAAAGAAACAAGGCAAAAATAAGCTCAGACCCCAACCTCTCCGGCCCACAGGGGTCTCTCCCACTTAGGAACCCAGCACGCACTCCAACTAAGAAAAGACCCGCTTTATTCCCAGTTCTCTAGGCACAGCCCCGTCCTTGCCCCGTGGTGACCTTAGCTCCTCCGAAGAAGACAGGGTCCGCACTCCTCTCCCCTCCGGAGAGTCCTAATCACCCACGGGGCCACAAAGGACGGGCCGCCCCCCAAGTCCCCTTCCTCGAGACCCCCGCCCGCCTCAAACCAGAAGTTAGTCCGAAAACGTCACACCCCCCTTCTCCACAGAAAGAGAAAAATGGAGATCCCAGTTCTCAGCTGCGCAGGGAACCTCGCGACCCACGACTGAGAGAAGTAAATTAGAAAAACTCCAGTCACCTTACCACCGCCGTCCACACTCGAGTCCTCCTCCTTCCCAATCTCGGTTCTCCCTTCCTTGTCACCCCTAGTCAATACTTCTTGGAACCGCCTCTGTGAGCGCCTAATTGGTAGCTGCGCGTCCACCCGGCCTGAAGATTGGAGAGCGCACCTGTCCATCACTGTTATCGGCCTGTGCCATAAGGAAGCGGTGACTCCCGGAAGCCTGTGGGTGGGGCAGGGGGCGGAGCCATGCCCCGAGCAAAGTCCGGAGCTGAGCTCCCCGTTCTTACTTCCTCACCATGATTACAACACGATAAGCTTGTCAACACAGAGAGCTCCAGGGAAACGCCCCGAAACAGCGAGGCCCTTCTTCCTCCTGCTACTGCCCTCTTAATCCTCCGCGGGAAGCCAAGAAACATTCTTGCTGCAGATAACAGACTTCCTAGTAACTCCCGTGATTCATCTCAGTGGCATGACTCTCACTTCCGATGAGTTGGTCTAAATCAGAAAGCAGGATAGAGCCTTGATTCCTCCTCTGCTTCATCTTTCTCCTCCTCCCCCACCCCAAGCCAACACCACCCAGTATACATTCGTCTCCTACACGGGTATGGAAAACCTCCCATTCTGTCTTCTCTGCCTCCCACCCACCATCATCCATTGCTGCAATGGCTTTTGCTCCACTCCCGACCCCTCCACCCTCAAACTGTTGCACATCTCACAACCTGGAAGGTCATGGTCTTGACCAATTTGGCGGATCACCGACGATGCCTGGAGTGATTTTTAGCTTTGCAAAGCACTAAGCCCAGGCGGCTGTGGCTTTAACTCCAGGACTGGGAAACTTAAAAGTCAAGTTGCCGGCCGGAGGCCACTTGGGGAGTGAATCAAGAACAGGAGATCTGCCTCTGTCTCTTCTCCTCTGTATATCTGATTTCCCAATGAACATAAGAATAAATCTTTAGGCCCAGCACAGTGGCCTAGTGGCTAAAGTCCTCACCTTGAACACGCCGGAATCCCATATGGGCGCCAGCTCTAGTCCCAGCAGCTCCACTTCCTATCCAGCTCCCTTCCTGTGGCCTGGGAAAGCAGTTGAGGACGGCCCAAAGCTTTGGGACCCTGCACCCGTATGGGAGACATGCAGGAAGTTCTTGGTTCCTGGCTTCAGCCGTTGCACTCACTTGGGGAGTGAATCAATGGACAGAAGATCTTCCTCTCTGTCTCACCTCCTCTCTGTATATCTGACTTTGTAATAAAAATAAATAAATCTTAAAAAAAAAAGTCAGTTGGGGTTGAGAGATTAGTACTGCACGGGCCCACTAATTGATCTGCAACTCTTTAATCAGTCTTAGGACAGTTATATTTTTTAAAGTTTTTTTTTTTAAGATTTATTTCATTTTTGTGAAAGGCGGAGTTACAGAGAGAGGGAGAAAGAAAGATCTTCCATCGGTGGTTTACTTCCCACATGGACACCAAAGCCAGGGTGGGGCCAAGTCGGCACCACCAGTTTGGCCAGCGCCTCACTGCCAGCTGGCCCCTGCTTTTAGGAACCTTCGTGATGTCAGACAGAGGTCACCAGCAGGTGACTGATAGCTGGTGTACTCAGAGTCTGGAGTTCCAAAAGCTTCAGGTCACATCCTGACATAAACATGTTACACGTGAGTCAGCTGGAAAAACTGCCGTCTAACCCAGAACCCAAACAGGACTCCTCCATTCCAAGAGTCAGTCTTCAGTTAACAGTGAACTTGCAACCATGAAATTAGGGTAACCAAACTTTAACTTAAGAGCCGGAAACTGGAACCGATAGGATAGCCTAGTGGCTAAATCCTTGCCTTGAACATGCCAGGACCCCATATGGATGCCAATTCATACCCTAATTGCTACACTTCCCATCCAGCTCCCTGCTTGTGGCCTGGGAAAGCAGTTGATGACGGCCCAAAGCCTTGGGACCCTGCACCCGCGTGGGAGGCCCAGAAGAAGCTCCTGGCTCCAGATTGGCTCAGCTCTGACAATTGCGGTCACTTGGAAAGTGAGCCAGCAGAGAGAAGATCTTTCTGTCTGTCTCTCCTTCTCTCTGTAAATCTGACTTTCCAATAAAAATAAATAAATCTTAAAGAGAGAGAGGAAGACTGCCAGATTGTGACAGACTAAGAACTGATAACATCTAGCATGTGTATATATATATCAGAGGCACAGTGGAGTAGTAGGTTAAGCTTCCACCTGCAGCACCAGCATCCTATATGGATGCCGGATCATGTTCTGGCTGTTCCACTTCTCTTCCTCTTCTTCCTCCTCCTTCTCTTTCTTCCTCTTTTAAAGATTTATTTATTTATTTATTATCTCCTGATTCTTCTGGATCATCCATGCAATTGCAGGGTCCCAAGGCTGTGGGCCATCCTCTGCTGCCTTCCCGGGCCACAACAGGGATCTGGATGGGAAGTGGAAGAACCAGGGCACAAATCTGCAGAGGGTTAGCCAATTGAACCAGCGTTCTGGACTCCCCACTCAAGCTGCTCCACTTCTGATACAGCTCCCTGCAAATGTGTCTGGGATTGTAGTGCAGGACAGCCCAAGTACTTGGGCCCCTCACTCACAAGAAGTTCCAGGCTCCTGGCTCGGGCTTGACACAGCCCCATCTATCACAGATATCTAGGGAATGAACATGCGGGTAATAGATCTCTCTGCTGTCACTCCTCTCTCTGTAACTCTGCCTTTCAAATAAAAATAAATCTCTCTCTCTTTTTGTTTTAAGGCAGGGTATACAGGCTCAGTATCATAGCAACGCAATTAACAAATGACTTCATGAGCGTATGTAGACTCACACACCCACACTTAGATATGGGTCTTAGGGCAGTGCTTAGCTTAGTGGTTAGATGCCAGTTAGGACACCCACGTCCCATGTCAGAAGGCCTGGATTCAATACCCTGCTCTGTCAGCTGACACCAGCCACTTGCTAATGTAGACTTAGAGAGGAAGTGGTGCTGACTCAGCTGCCTGAGTCCCTGTCACCGCTTTGGAGGGCCTGGATTGAGTTCCTGTCTCCCACTGGAACCCAGCCTAGACACAATTGTCTGGACACATTTGTGAATACTCTCTCTTTTTCACTTTCAGATACATTAAAAACATTTTTTTATTGAAGCTTTTTAAATTTATTTTTATTGGAAAGACAGATCAGATTTCTGGAGAGAAGGAAAGACAAACATCTTCCATCCACTGGTTCACTCCCTACATGGACACAATTGCCAGAGCTGCGCCAGGGAACAGGAGCTTCTTCTGGCACGATGGCTCAATGGTTCAATCCTCGTCTTGCAAGTGCCGGGATCCAATATGGGTAGTTGTTCATGCCCCAGCTGCTCCACTTCCCATCCAGCTCCCTCCTTGTGCCTTTGAAAGTAGTAGAGGATGGCCCAAAGCCTTGGGACCCTGCATCATGTGTGAAACCTAGTAGAAGCTTCTAGCTCGGGCTCCTGGCTTTGTAGGCTCAGCTCTGGCCACTGCAGTCATTTGGGAAGTGAACTAGAGGTAGAAGATCTTCCTCTCTGTCTTTCCTTCTTCTTCTTCTTTTTTTTACATTTTATTATTATCATTATGATTTTATGATACAGTTCCATAGGCTGCTGGTATTTCCCTTATCCCAACCCCAATTCCATCCCCCCCCCGCCTAGTTTCTCTATATCATTACCAAAGAATAGTTTTTCATACACAGTCATATGTCCATCATTGCGGGCATGGACAATGGCAGAGAGTCCAGAATCCTATTGTCAAGATATAATAAACAGTTTCTTTCTTTTTTTCTTTTTTTTTTTCAAAGATTTATTTTATTTTTTTTGGAAAGACGGACATACAGAGAGAAATATTTTCCATATGATCATTCACTCCCCAAGTGAGCACAATGGCCGATGCTATGCCGATCCGAAGCCAGGAGCCTCTTCCAGGTCTCCCACGCGGGTGCAGGGTCCCAAAGCTTTGGGCCATCCTTGACTGCTTCCCCAGGCCACAGGCAGGGAGTTGGATAGGAAGCGGGGCCGCTGGGATTAGATCCTGGGCGTGCAAGGCGAGGACCTTAACCACTGCGCCATCACACCGGGCCTAGTAAACAGTTTCATTGTAAGTCCATCTTTGTCTGGAAGTAGAAATGCTCTGTTTCTAGTTCTCTCCGTAAATCTGATCCGCCTTTTCAACAAAAGCGAATCTTTAATAAATAATAATAATAATAATATTTATTATCTAAAGATTTTTTTTTTTTAATTTGAAAGGCAAGGTTACAACAAGGGAAAAAAACAGGAAGAGAAAAAACTTCTATTTGTTGGCTCATTCCCAAAATGGATGCAATAGCTGGGGCTGTGCCAGGTCAAAGCTGGGAGCTTCTTCTAAGTCTCCCACATGGATACAGGGGCCCAAGCACTTGTGCCGTCTTCCCCTGCTTTTCCAGGTGCATGAGCAGGGAGCTAGGTTGGAAGTGGAGCAGTCAGGTCTTGAACCAGTGCCCACATACGACAATGGTGCCAAAATCTGAGGCTTAAACTACCTTGCCATAATGCTGACTCCATCCATCACCTAATTTTAGCAAATGTTCATTCCCAATGGAGGAGATCCCAATGTCTATTAGCAATCAACCTCTACTCTTCTCCCACCTCTACCCTAAGCCACCTAGGCCCCAAACAACCACTAACAACGTTCCATTGATTTACCTATTCTAGAGTTCCCTATAAATGAGCTCAAATAACACTTTGTCTCTGCTATCTGAATTCTTCATTCAACATCTTGTTTTCAAGTTCATCTATACTACCTTGTACGGCAGCTCCTTTTTGTGAAGCAAGCACTGAATATTGTTCTGTTGTATGGCTGCTCCCACTTTTCGATTATACATTAATCAGGGTTGTGTTTGAATATGGTTTGTGCCCTGCAAAGCTATGGTTGAAACTTGATTGCCATATGATAGTGTGGAGAGGTGGCGCCTTTCAGAGACATGTCTTTCTCAACGGAGTGGGTTCATTCTCCCCAGGGTGAGGCTGCCCTTGGGGTGAGCATTTGAGCCAGTTGATAAGAAGCCAATGTCCCATATCAGAAAGCCTTTGGTTTAATACCAGGCTCCAGGACTCCAGCTTCCTGCTAATACAAATCCTGGGAGCTAGTGAGTGGTGATGGCTCAAAAGTTCATTGGTTCCTGGGGCTAGTATGACAGCTCAATTGGCTAATTCTCTACCTGCGAGCAGTGGTATCCCATGGAGTCTCAAGGCTTTTGCCCGTCCTCTATTGCTTTCCTAGGCCAAAAGCAGAGAGCTGGAGGGGAAGTAGGGCTACCAGGAAATGAACTGGCACCCATAAGGGAAAGACACCCAGCACATGCAAGACGAGGATTTTAGCCACTAGGCTACTCTGCCAGGCCCAAGGCTTCCAACTTCTACTGGTCTTTGACTAACATCATTCCAGAGTATAACAAACAGATCTTGCAGTTCATGATGAGCTCCTTACCGTTTTTTTTTTAAAAGACTTGCTTTATTTTTATTTGAAAGGCAGATTTACAGAGAGGAGAGACAGAGAAAGATCTTCCATCTGCTAGTTCACTCACCAAGTGGCTACACAACAGCTGAACTGAGCTGATCCAAAGCCAGGAGCCAGGAAATTCTTCTAGGTCTCCCACATGGGTTCAAGGGCCCACGGCTTTGGGCCATCCTGTGTTGCTTTCCCAGACATATTAGCAGGAAATTGGATTAGAAACAGAGCAGCTATGACTTGAATTGGTACCTATATGTGATTCAGGCAGTGGATTAATTCACTATACCACAATGCTGGTCCCAGTCCACATAATTTAAAAGCCAAAAAGGATGGAAATACAAAAAGTGAAGTCTCTTTTCCATTCTTTTTTTAAATCTAGCCTTCCCCAACCTGCATGCTCCAGTTATTCATACACACACACACGTTTCCACTGTTCGTGTTTGCTCAAACAAGTAAAAATTGACACCTACCTTTTTTTTTTTTTAATAAATTCAAACTTCTTTTTTTGAAAAGTACAGGGAGAGAGACAGATAGGTAAAGAAACAGAGTCTCCGTGGGTTGGTTTACCGCCCTAATTCCCACAATGGCCAGCACTGGACTGGACTGAGGCCAGCAGTCAGGCACTTCCGTGTGCTTGGCAAGAATCCAAATCCTTGAGCCAAAATCCATATCAGCAGGAGGCTGAAGCCCGAGATCAAACCCAAGGACTCTGATACGGAGGGAAGGTGTCCTCACCGATGAGTTAACCACTAGGACAATCTTTCACCTTCATACTATGTTTTCAATAGCAAAGCCACAAATTATTCAAGGTTTTGCAATTTCCCTCCCATACTACATCCTAGGGATCTTTCCATATGTGTATCTCTTTAGTCTTTTACATCTGCATTTTATTCTTTTGTAGGATATACAATCATTAAATTGACTGATCCCTATCAATGGCCTTTATGCTAGTTTCAAACTTCTGCAATTAAAAACAATGTTGAAATAACTATGTACATGACATTTCACATATTTGTCCCTTTTTTTCTTAAAGATTTATTTTGATTTAAAAGGCAGATTCACAGAGAGAAGGAGAGACAGAGAAAAAGCTCTTCTGTCCATTGACTCACTCCCCAAGTGGCTGCAACAATCAGAGCTGAGCCGATCTGAAGCCAGGAACCAGGAGCTTCTTCTGTTTCCCATGTGGGTGCAGGGTCCACTGCCTTCAGGTTCCACTGCCTTCCTAGACCATAAGCAGGAAGCTGGATGGGAAATAGAGCAGCCAGGACACAGGCCAGCACCTTGGCATAGTAGGCTAAGCCTCTGATGAGTGCCCTAGCTGTTTCACATCTGTTCCAGTTTCCTGCTAATGTTCACTCAGTGAGGCAGCTGATGTGGCTCAGCTGCTCCTGACATGGGTGACTTGGGTTAAGTTTCAGGTTCCTGGCTTTAGCAGACATTTGAGGAGTGAACCAGCAGATAGACAATCTGTCACTTTCCCATTCTTCCTTCCAAGCATGTGTCTTCCACATTGCTCACCGTTTTCCACATTACGTGCTATCCTCCCTCCTTGGGTTGGGATTACCCTTCTGCCCATGTGCTCCTGGCAAATCCCGCTCCTCCAGGACCCTCCTTGTCCTCCTCCCAGTGCCCCAGGACACAGTGCAGGACCCCAATAGTGTGAGTCCCAAGTCTCTGAGCACCTCCAAAGCAGGGATTTGCTGGCGTTCATCTTTCATTGCCCAGTGTCCAGCATGGTATCTTCCCCATCCTCCACCTCACCTAAGCACAAATGTTGGGGGAAGGAGAAGGAGAGAAAGAGCAACTGGAGGGTACCAGGACCACGTGAAAAGAGGAAGAGCCAAGGGTATGCGTTAGGAAAGCAGACTTTATTTTTCTTCCTGAATGCTAACTAGGTCAGGGTCAAGGGGAAGGTAGTGGAGAGACAGGACAGACAGGCACGGGATCGCCTCTGCAGACTGCACGCAAGCTGCCTTATTTACATGTGAGAAATGGTGCCAGCAGGTTGGGGTTTCTGGGAGCTGGGGCCTGGCTGTTTAGTTCTGCCAGGGAGAAGGACAGGGGCAGGAGCTGAGGCTGACTCGTCTTCGGGGTGGCTGAGTGGACATCCCTCCCGGAAGGGCTGCGGGGGGTGAAGCATGGTGGCCAGGCGCTGCTGTACACACTCGGCCGTCAGCCGCGCTTCTGGATCTGGGTCCCAGCAGTCTTCCAGGAGCTCCTTCAGTGCTCCGGGTTCCTGGGGAGAAGGTTCGGGAGGCGGGCTACAACCCGGGAGGCTAGCAGGCAAGGTCTGTGTGTCCTGTTGGTTCGCCTTCTGTGTCTGCCGGGAGCCTCCCACTGCACCTCATGGAAGCCCTACCCCCGAGTCTAATTCCCTAGGAGATGGGCCGCCTGTGTGCCTTCCATGAGGGTCCCCCTTTTCCTCTATAAGGCTAATTCATGTACACAGCTTAACACACTAATAGCCGATCAGTCTTATTCCTCTCCAGCAACTAAGAGCCTGGCTTCCTTCATCTGGACACACGAGCGGTGGAAGGTTCTGAGCAGTTAGTAAGAGAAGGGGTGGCCCATTAGGGCATTATTTTTTCAGTACACACACACACTACATGAGGCCACTGCTTGGAACCTTGATGCCTAGACCTGGCTTTTACCTAGTTGCAGCAACCCATGTTCCGGCAGGAAAGGAAGCGCAGTGGTGCAGATAGTTGGGCTCCACAGTACTTGGGGCAGGATACAGGACAAGCAACAAAGTCAGCTTGAGCTCCCAGGACAGAGGTCTGAGGACGGGGGCTAAACGACCACAGGGAGGAGAAAGGGACACTGCCCAAGAATGTCCACTGCTCAGGTGGACATTCTCAGAGTGGGCTCTGTGGGAGAGGTAGGGTAGACAGAGCAAAAGTGCCCAGTGGCAGCTGAACACAAGGAAGTGGAGGGCTATGAGAAAAGTGCAAAGGGGTGACCTGCCCTGGTAATGGTGTTCTTGAAGCTCAGACCCCACCCCCAGCTCGCTTGTGGCCTCTTACTGTGACAAAGCAGCGCCAGGAGTCTGGGATGCAGGGCCGTCTCCTCTCTTCCACAGCCAAGGCCCACAGCTCGCAGGTGGAGGGGGCGCTGCCCAGCTCTGCCTCATAGGCCAGTTGGAAGGGTGGTGGTGGTCTGTTGTCTGAGGGCAGGATAGAAGGGGGCGGGCAGAGGGGCGGGTGTCAGTATTAGTGGTGGGGTGAGGGGGGCAGTCATAGTTTTATGGGAACAAGAACAAGAGGTGGTTGGCCCTCAAGGAGGTAAATAGGGAGCCGGAGCCGGGGTGGTGGACTAACCCAGCCGTCCTTACCGGGCCTCAGATCTGGGCAGCGGCTCAGGATCTCCCAGAGGAGCAAGGCCAGAGAATAGACGTCAGCTCGCCGGAGGGCCGTACCCCAGTCCTGGAGGTCCAGAGACTTGTCCAGGAGCTCTGGTGCCATGTACCTTTGGGTGCCAGCCTGGAAAGGACCTCACATGGAGGGCCAGGTTTCCTCTCTGGACCAGTCCCTGCTGTGGGCTCAAGGACATCCCTCACCCCGCCGATGCTAAGCAGTTCCTGCTGGACGTCGGCCACAGTAGGTGGTTGTCTCTGTGAGCAGCACCTCCCCCTGGAGGACTCACCTCCATGATGGCAGCTGGGCCTCGGGGTTCAGCTGGAGCCCAGGCTGGGGGCTGGGCAAAGCCGGGGAGCACCAGTGCAAGGCCCAGGTCTCCGATGGCACACGACCCATCTTCCCGAATAAGCACATTCTGGCTGCTCAGGTCTCGGTGGGCGATCCCTGGCTTGTATTGGCCTGGGAGGAAGTCCCATGTTAGAGGGTCATGGATCCTCTTCCTTTCTCTTTGAACCTGATTGGTCCCCTCCATGTGAAGGGAGAATCAGGGGTGCAGCTTCGTGGTTCCTGGCTCCCCCTGCCTCCAATTTCCCGCTCCCAGCTCATGCTTACCATCCTGCCAGCGCTCCTCATGGAGAAATGCCAGGCCCTGGGCTAGCGACAATGCCATCCTCAGAGAGCTTCCCCAGTCACTGGTGTGCTGGGCCAAGTACTGGCACAGGGAGCCCTGGAGGGGATGGGGGAAGCAGAAAGAAGAACAAAGCACACACAGCTCCATACTGGAACAGCAACCTACTGACAGGGCCAGTGTGATGGCTCAATCGGTTAAGCTTCCACCTGCAAGCACAAACATGTCCATCAGTGTCCCAGCTGCTGCTCCATTTCCCATCCAGCTCCCTGCTTGTGCCCTGGAAGAGCAGCAGAGCCTTGGGCCCTTGAACTCACATGGGAGACCCAGAAGAAGCTTCTGGCCCCTGGCTTTGGATTGGGTCTGCTCTGGCTATGGCCAGCCATTTGGGGAGTGAACCAGTAGATGGAAGGTCTTTCTCTGTGTCTCTCCTTCTCTGCAAATCTGCCTTTCCAATAAAAATAAAGAAATCAAAGAGAGAAAGAACAAAAGGAAGGAAGGGAGAGAAAGAGAAAGAAAGAAAAGAAAGAATCAGCTGACTTTTCCCTGTGCCTTCCAGAAGGACAAACATGTTGACAAACTCAGGCAGACTCCAACAGTGGAGGAGCAATCATGGGCCTGGGTCAGGAGGTGGGACATGGCAGCCAGGGGCTCTGAGAATACCCTGTGCTATAGGCCCAGCCCACAGGGCCTCCTATAACCTTTGCAACAACCCTAGGAGGGGCAGGTGCTCCTGCGGCCTCAACACTTCCCACATGAGACAGTGGACCTTGAATGCAAACTGACTCACCACTCACTTCTGAACTCCACCTTCTACTGACTCAGAGAGCCAAAGACAGACAAGGCTGTAGCAGGTGGTCAGGGGCATTCCTCATGAACTACCTGGTCCAAGGAGGTCCTGGTGCATTTGTGCCAGGATGAGTGGAACCCACGGGCAGGGTAGGAAAACAGCAAGTAGGGCCAGAAGTAAAAGGGGTTCCTCCTCATTTAGCTAGCGTTGGGCACCTCTAGAGTCCAGGAGTGTGTTCCAACCCCAAGTTGCCCAAGGTCAGCAAAGAGATAATGATGCCCATAAAATGCAGGGTGCCATAAACCCCAGGATGGGGACGTGAATCGAGTGTCATGAGCATAGAACAGGGATGACTAACATTGTCTGGGAAGGGAGAGAAAGTCCAACAAATAGCAATGATTTTTGCTGGCTGGCAAAAATCAGCAATGATTTTGTAGCTGGCCCAGTGGCAAGGAGTTAATGAGGGGGCTCTCCAGAAGTGAAGGGACTGAATGACAGAGTGTGGGCAGGGACTATGGCACTTGGAGAGGATGAACAGGAATGGAAAGAATGACTCAATTAGCTAATCCTCTCTTGAAAGTGCCAGGATCCCACATAGGCACTGGTTCAAGTCCTGGCTGCTCCACTGCCCATCTAGCTCTCTGCTTGTGGCCTGGGAAAGCAGGGATAGGCTATGCCACCACCAGTGAGATTTGGGACTGGGGGCGGGTTGAGGCAGGCCAGGCTACATTAGAGTAGAGAATGGCCCAAGGCCTTGGGACTCTACACCGCGTGGGAGACCTGGAAGAAACCTCTGGCTCCTGGTCCTGATAAAGGAGAGAGCTGGCACAGATGAGGTGGAGCAGGCCTCCAGTCACACACATCTCTGAGCTCCAGGTGGATCAGAATCCTTACTTAAAAAAAAAATACATTGTTATTATTATGATATTGGAAAGCAGATTATAGAGAGAAGGAGAGAAAGAGAGAAATATTTGCATCTTCTGATTTACTCCCCAAGTGGCCGCAATGGGCAGAGCTGAGCCGATCCAAAAGCAGGAGGCGGGAGCCCCTTCCAGATCTCTCACACGGGGGCAAGGTGAGGATGAGCTAATTGAACCATCGTGCTAGACCCAGAATTCCTGCTTTAGAGGGACTTCAGCTGGCTTCTTTGGGGCCTGTGAGTGAGAAAATGAGAACCGTGAATCCAAGCTGATTCCCATCACTCACTATTGAGCATCATCTTCTATTCCCTCAGAGATCTTGGGACCAACACAGAAGCAGAGGAGGATGGACAAGCTAGTCAGGGGCATTTATAGTGTTCCCGGTGAAGGTCAAGTCTAAAAAAATGTAGAGCGTTGTTGTGGTGCATCAGGTACAGCGCGTATCCTCAATGCCCTCCCTTCCTTCCTTCCTTCCTTCCTTCCTTCCTTCCTTCCTTCCTTCCTTCCTTCCTTCCCTCCCTCCCTCCCTCCTTCCTTCCTTCCTTCCTTCCTTCCTTCCTTCCTTCCTTCCTTCCTTCCTTCCTTCCTTCCTTCCTTCAGATTTACAGACAGAAGGAGAGACACAGAGAAAGATCTTCCATCTACTGATTCACTCCCCAAATGGCTGCCACAGCCACAGCTGACCCAATCCAAAGTATGTCTGTTTGAGTCCTACGGCTCTACTCTAATCCCTGCTAACGTTCCTGAGAAAGCAGCAGATGGCCTACATGTTTGAGCCCTGCCACCTTCCTGGGAGATGAGGTTCCTGGCTCCTGGCTGATGACTTTGGGCTAGTCCAGTCCCAGTGACCCAGTCACTGCAGGTATTTGGGGAGTGAAGCAGTAGATGGAAGATCTCTGTCTTTCCCTGTGTCCCTCCACTTTTCAAATAAGTAAAAGAAGTATTCAGAAATGTGTTGAAACTTCCTATGCAATGCAGAGCAGGAAGTAGATGGAGAAATGGCACAGAATCCAGGTAAAGTCCTAGATTTGTTTTCAAAATTTAAAAATGCATTTATTTATTTATTTATTTATTTAAAAGGCAGAATGACATAAAGAGACAGAGAGATCTCCCATCTACTGGTTTATTCCCCAAATGGTCACAATAGCTGGAGCTGGGCCAGGCCAAAGCCAGGAGCCAGGAACTTCTTCTGGACCTCCCATATGGGTCCAAGGGTCCAAGTACCTGTGCCATCTGCTGCCCTTTCCCAGGAGGATTACCAGGAAGCAGGATTAGACATGGAGCAGCTGGGTCTGGAACCAGCATCCCCATAGGATGTTAGTGGTGGCAGCTGTATGTACTATGCCACAATGCAGACCTCAAAGTACTAGATTTTTTTTTTTAAAGACTTATTTTATTCTTATTGGAAAGTTAGATATATAGAGAGAAGGAGAGACAGAGAGAGAGATCATCTGTCCGTTGACTCACGGCTGGAGCTGCACTGATCCGAATCTAGGAGCCAGAAGCCTCCTCTGGGTCTCCCACGCGGGTGCAGGGTCCCAAGGCTTTGAGCCATCCTCGACTGCTTTCCCAGGCCACAAGCAGGGAGCTGGATGGGAAGCATGGCTGCCAGGATTAGAACTGACGCCCATCTTGAATTCTTGTATGTGCAAGGTGAGGACTTTAGCTGCTAGGCCATGTGCCAGGCCCTCTTCTCTTTTCTTTTTTAATATAGCTTATTTCACTTCTATAAAATGAACCAATTGTGCACTACAGATTTAGACATGATTAACTGGTTCCATTTGCTCTCCCCTTTTGACTATAAAATCCATAAGGGCGAGGGCTGTGTTTTTCCTAACATCCAGTACAGTGTGTGACACAGAGTTTGTAAGTTTTTGTTGAATGACTTTGGAGGGCAAAGCTCTTTAAATTTTAAAATTTATTTTATATTTATTTGCAAGTCAGAGGAACAGAAACAGAGAGAGATTTTTCCATCAGCTTGGTTCACTCCCTGAATGTCCATATCAGCTAGGGCTGGGCCAGTGGAAGCCGGCGGCCAGCCATTCCATGCGAGTCTCCTACACTGGCAATAAGGACCTAAGTACTTGCTGCCATGTACAACACGCAAACACACAAGCACACACACATGCCTTAGTTCTTACCTTCGGGTGCAGCTCCAGTACCAGCAGAGGCCCAGAGGGTAGGGGGCTGGGGCCCCCCTGGCCAGCAGCAACAAAGCGGACAACGTGGTTGTGCTGCAGGGCCGGCATCTCATACAATGCTTTCTCAGCTTGGAACTGGGCCACAGCCCGCTGGGGGAAGACCTTGATGGCCACTGGCTCTCCTTGCAGCTGCCCAGCCCACACAACTGCATGACCTCCTTCCCGGATGACCTGGTGGGGGAAACTGGTCTGGTATGGGGTTGGGGGGAAGGAGTGATGGCCAGAGGCACCTGTACCCCACCCCCGCTCATCCCGGGGGGCGGGGGGCGGGGCACCTGGGAGAAGCATAGTTGGTGCAGCTCCGGTAACTCCTCACTCCAGTCCCTGTGGGAGTCTGCCTCTGGCTCTGGCCGGCTCTGCACTGCATAGGACTTCCGCTGTAGTAGGGCTAGGGTAAGAGAGAAGCCATGCAGTTAGGTTCCACAGGGCATGGGGAACCAGTCAGGGAGTTTTTAGCAAGAGGTGATGGGGGTGAGTAGTGCCTGGAGAGAGGGATGAGGATTTGGGGAGGGGGCGGTGGGGGACAGTGGGCAGCATCTTAGTGCGACAGGGAGGGGTGGGGCAGGTGAGTACCCACGACGATGCTGCCCAGCAGCAGCAGCAGCAGCAGAACCAGCCCCGGCAGCACCAGTGCCATCCACAGGGACTCACCTGGAAAGGTGAAGGCCAGTGAGTTCAGCCCCAAATCCAGCTGTAGACTCTTCTTCCCGCCCTCCCATCCCACCCCCACCCCCAACTCACCCCCACCTTGGTCACCAGCCCCCTTATCTCCCGTCACCAGGGCAACCAACTTCTCAAGGCCAAAAGAGGGAAGCTCTGGGGCAGGGAGGTAGGGTGAGAATTGGCCCTCATCTGTCTCTCACACTATCCTAGCTCCCCCCCCCCCCCCCCCCCCGCCTCGCACCCCACACAGCTGCGCTCTTGTCACCTCCACACGCTAGGTTCCAGCAGTACCACTGTGGGGAGGGGGTTGTGTAGCTACCTGGGGCAGCCTGGGGACCCTGGGGGCTAGGAATTCCAGGGCTCCCCAGCAGAGGCACATGGCTGTAATTGGCATTGCAGAAGTCTGCGCCACAAGAACAGGTAAAGAGAGTGGAGCCAGGGCCAGTGTGGGCTCGGGCGCTGGGGTTACAACTGAGCACCTCGCAGCCTGGCTCGTCGCTGTCTCGGCATCCTGACAGGTCGGGAGCAGCGGGAAGAGGAGAGAAAGCAGGGATAAGAGGGAGAGCAGGGTGGGGTCTGGGACTAAGTCCCCTGTCTCCCCCTCCACACGTTCCATGCCTCCCCTTTCAGTACCACCCAGAATGTTCGGTCTCCCATCCTGGCCACCACCTGTCAGCCAGTCACCTTGCATCTCCACCTGTGCCTGGTCTTGGGTTAAATTCCAGATCCCGAAGCAGCAGCGACTGTAGAGGCAGCGGATAACCTTGGGAGGTCCCGGTCCTGCCTCTAGCAGCTCCCCCAGTGTCTTTGTGCTTCCTCGCACGCCAGGAGCCTCAAAAAACACACAGGTCCTCCTGTTTGGGGGTGCTGAGGCCCCGGGTAGGAAAAGGGGAAGATTCAAAAAGGGGAGTAAATGTTGGAGCCAAAATGAAAAACCCAGTAGCTAAAGCACAGTTTTTAATCTTGCACAGTCAGTGTGGTGAGGCCACAGAAGGATGGGCCCTGGAACCTGCCCCAACCCCCGTTGGGACACATGAGCTATTTAGCCTTCCCTGTTCCACACCCGGCCTTTTCACCATCTCTCCCAAGTGCCTGTGTCCCTCATGGGCCCCACCACTCCCTGGGGTACACTTACCTTGCACAGACGTGGGAAGCAGTGTCCAAAGCCCGAGCGGGCCCAGCATCCTGCTGTTGGTAGGCTGGGGTAAGGGGACAGTTGCGGGAGCCAGCACAGCTGGCCCTGGCCGCAGCTTCCTTTAGATATGGGGCATGGTGGGGCTTCAGATCTCCTAGTCCCCAACTCCGCCCCTCCTCCGTCCTAGCCCAGTCTCCAGGGAGAAGGCGGCTGTGGGGGAGAGGGGGGTGTGGGGAGAGCCGGGAAAGAAAGGGAGGAGGATGGAACCAATCTCCTATCCTCCTCTTTTCTCTGCGCAGTGGGAGGAAAGGGGCCCTGGAGGTCCAGCTGGAAGCCTGGTGATGCCGGACATCCAATCTCTGCCTCTCGCTGACCCCAAGAAGGTGCTGGGCCCTGCTGGGTGTTTCTCAGCTGGAAACCCAAGTGATGTCAACTCCCTTGAACCATCCTACACTCTCCATATATTCAGGAGAGGGAAACTTCACAACCTGTATGATCAGGGTCCTTGTTTTTCAAACTCAAGCATTAGAAAGAGTTCGGAACAAAACCATGAGGTTGGCATGGTGGCTCAATAGGCTAATCCTTTGCCTGCGACATTGGGATCCCACGTGGGTGCTGGTTCTAGTCCTGGCTGCTTCAGTTCTAATCCAGCTCCTTGCTCATGGCCTGGGAAAGCAGCAGAGGATGGCCCAAAGCCTTGGGACCCTACACCCATGTGGGAGATTCTGGCTCCTGGTTTTGGATCAGCTCAGCTCCGGCTGTTACAGCCATTTGGGGAATGAACCAGCAGATGCAAGTCTTTCTCTCTGTCTCTTCTTTAAATATGTGAATCTCCTTTCAAATAAAAAAATATAATTTAAAAAACATTATGTTTAAGAAATGACATTGAGTCATACACCGAACACATCATCATTATTGAAAAGGTGAGCTTTTTATGTTTTAATTGGGCATCTATTGCATGCCAGGGTGCAGCACTGGCCTTTTCCTTCACAATTGTCTCACTTCTACCACAGAGATGGTTCAAAAGAGTGAGCTTAGGTAGGTTGCCCAAGGTCACTCAGCTGGAGCTGAACCTGGGTCAAGTCTGACTCTGAAGCTCAGGGTTTGTTCTTTGCAATATACCATATGCCTGAGATAGATATATAAAATTCAGGAATAGGGCCTGGTACGGTAGCCTAGCAGTTAAAGTCCTCACCTTGCATGCACCAGGATCCCACATGGGCACCAGTTCTAATCCTGGTGGCCCACCTCCCTGATTGTGTCCTAGGAAAGCAGTTGAGGATGGCCCAAAGCCTTGGAACCCTGCACCCACATGGGAGACCCAGAGGAATCTCCTGGCTCCTGGCTTCAGATGGGCTCAGCTCTGGCCGTTGCGGTACTTGGGGAGTGAATCAATGGACAGAAGATCTCTGTATATCTGCCTTTCCAATGAAAGTAAATAAAATTCAGCAATAAGAGAGAGATTTTCACTTAATATTGTTGTTACTGAGAAAACAGGTACCATAACCTGCTCGCAGGCCACTGACAGGAAAAGGCTAGGGTGCAGTTCACACAGTACCCACTAGAGGTCAGCAGACACGGGCAACCCCAGGCTATGCTAGGGCTACAAGGACGTGCAGCACCCAGGATGCATCTCAAGTCCCAGGGACAAAGACTGTAACGTGAGAAGGGAGGACATAGAGTGTGTGGAGAGAATGTCACCACTCTAGTAGGAGAGGGCTGTGGCTACCGCTGCGGGAGAGACAGGAGTCCCAACTTCAGCTGACTCCTGCCTGGACTAAGAACTTAGCCGGCCACTAAGCATTTCTACACCTGTGAGCAGCTGCCCCCACTATGAATGGGAAGGGCTTTCTGTCCCCTAGTGTCGGCCTAGAAGCCCTTTCTCAGAGTGATCTGACTGGGACCAGGGATAAAGGGGGACACTCGGCTTCAGGGGCTTTTCTCCTGGGGAGAACAAGAGGTCCCAGTAGCTATGAAACTGCAGCTGGAGACAGCTGCCCACCCTGCCTTGGGCCCCTTTCAGGAGCCTGCAGGGCCGTGCCAGCCAGCAGGAATGCTGTACTTAGCTCCAGCCGTCTTTGGACCCCCAGATCAGATAAGTCTGGGAAGGAAGGGGGTTGAGGAGGGTGGTAGTCGGTGGGGGAAGTTGAAGGTCAAATAACTTCTTCTGTCTGGAGTGTCTCAGGCAACTCCTTCGGAGTGGGAGCAGGATGAGAATGAAGAGTCTCCCCCCAGAAAACCTGGGGTAACTAGCCCTGTCCAGACAGAAACCGTACCTACCTGGGGCAGGCAGATTTTAAACTTGAGGTATAAAAAAAAAAAATCTGAATTCTGGGGAGGAAGATCCTGAAAAGGGATTACAGTTGAAGAAGAAAGACTTCTCAGACTGTACCTTCACCATGAACTTCAATAGGGACCTGGGTTTAAAGGCAGCAGTGACACTAACTTACCTTGACTACAGGGTTTAGTGATCTGTTCATTCATTCAGCAAATTATTGGAGCACAGTCTAACTACCCCACACAAAAAAGGGGGCTATTTACCAGGACTTGGCGCAGCAAAAGCTAGCATGATCCCAGCTTTTTAGAAATGTAGTCTACGGCCCGGTGTGGTGGCCTAGCCTCACCTTGAATGTGCCCGGGATCCCATAAGGGTGCCGATTCTAATCCCAGCAGCTCCACTTCCATCCAGCTCCCTGCTTGTGACCTGGGAAAGCAGTCGAGGACAGCTCAAAGGCTTGGGACCCTGCACCCGTGTGGGAGACCCGGAGGAAGTTCATGGCTCCTGGCTTCGGATTAGCACAGCTCTGGCTATTGTGTCCACTTGGGGAGTGAACCGTCGGACAATAGATCTTCCTCTCTGTCTCTCCTCCTCTCTGTATATCCGCCCTTCCCAATAAAATAAATTAATTCATTAAAAATTTAAAAAGAAATTTAAAGAAGAAATTTAGTCTAGAGAGGCATGTTAGCAAGCAAACAACAGAATTCTTCCATTAGATGTATCAACAATGAATTGTCCAGGCCAAGAGCAAAAAAGTTAATCCAACCTGGGGTATAGACACTAATGAAGAAGAAAGTGCCTCCATCCCCGACTACCCCCTCCTCAGGGGGAAGGATTCTCGTGATGGCACAATTGGCTAATCCTCACCTTGCAGGCACCAGGATCCCATTCAAGCCCCGGCTGCTTCACTTCTCACCCAGCTCCCTGCTTGTGGCCTGCCAAAGTGGTAGAGGATGACCCAAAGCCCTTGGAACCCTGTGGCCACTCGGGAAACCCAGAAGAAGATCCTGACATCGGAATTGGCTCAACCTCAGCCCTTGCAGCCACTTGGGTAGTGAACCAGTGGCTGGAAGTTCTTTCCCTCTATATCTCCTCTGTACATCAAAAATCTACATTGCCAATAAAAATAAAGTGTTTAAAAAACAAAGAAAGGATACTTTTATCATCTTCAAAGACAAGAAGATGGCAAAGCGTTGGTGTGGCCAGAGTATAGCACAGGGATAAAACCAAGAATTATAGGCCCACATGAAGAAGAACGAATGGAGATGAGGGAAATCATATAAGACCTTAGGTGATGGGATGGACTCTCTGGGTTTATTCCTGCTAGCAGGCCCTGAGGCCTCCGAGGGGTACGGTGATGGCTTTCTGTCACAAGAATCACCAAACAGGTGAGGAATGTCTGTTTATTGTGAAGAAATTACAAGCTTATAAAGGCTAGGAAAGGGGAGGGCAGAAGGGCATCTTTTGACAGTCCCTCCCACCCCACTCAACAATGACACTGTAATTGGCTAGAAGGCATGTCTATTCCCCCAGATCCTCCAGTCATGTCACAGGTCATGCATGCAGGCAGGCTGTGAGCCACGCCCACCTAGCAGACAGTGAACCAAGGGAGATCTCCTGCAATGATTGGTGGCAAAGTGGGTGAAGCTGCCGCTTGGGACTCCCGCAACCCATCACTGAGGTGCCTGGATTTGGATTCTACCTCTGCTAGTATGCAAGCTGGAAGACACAAGCACTTGGGCCCCTACCAGTCACCTGGGAGGTGGACGTGAATTCCTGGCTTCCTGGCTTTAGTCTGGTCCCATTCCCAGCTAATGCAGGTATTTGAGGAAGTCCAGATTTCCTTTCTTTGCATTTCTATTGCTCTGCCTCCCAAACAGGGAGAGAACTAACAGATGGTGCCGAGGTTTCCAGCAGGAATATTCAAGGGCCAGGTCATCCATGGTGAAGTAATAGATGGAACAGGAGGGATTTCCCTTCTCGCACATTTAATGTTACCTGTAGGATGTTTAGGTAAAGACGTCCAGAAAGCAGGCTTGCAGGAGAAGAAAAAAAAAAAAATGAGGATGCAAGATTTGGGAGAGAACAACATTTAGGTAAGAGTGGGCAGGACTTTAGGGAGAGAAGCAATGAAGAACGCAAAGAAGCGATGAGGGGAATTCAGGAGTGTCAGTGTCACCCTGTGGCAAAGATTAGGACATTCTTCCAAGGGCCCTTGGCTGACACAGTTCATCCTAGAGTCTCCACTCACACAGATACTATTGACGTTTGTCTGGGAGAGTTGTCCAATTTGTTCTGCCCTCCATCCTCCGCTGTGGTACTAGATGTTCTCTGCAGGCCCCAACGCACTGCAATATCCCGCATGACCATCTGGGCATGTTGTTTGTTGCATCATCTTCAGCAAGTGAGTAACCCCCTCCAGGCCCACTCCCATTCCCTGCAAACAACAGTATGTACAGTAAATTGGTCCAGTCTGTCCCATATTCCACTTGGCTTTTGTACTTACCAGTAGGTGTTGTCGCCTAGCTCAGCCCCACTGACTCCACTATCCAGCCCACACTCATGCCTCTGGGTGCTACCACCTGTCCAGCCAGTTCTACCCCCAGCCCTGTTTCTCATGTTCACCATAGGAGCTGTGGCCCCAGTTTCCCTACTAGGCTCACTCCTGGCCCCAGATCTTGTACTTCCCAGGTGGTTCGGCAGTCTAACTTGACAGGATTTGCCCCCTTTCCCAACACTTGCCAGCTGATGCTGTGGCAAAACCTGCCTAG